GGCATCCATTTGCCTGAAAATTTCAAGATTCCATTGGTTTTTTTGTGTGTGTTTGTGTTTTTGCTGAGTAGTACTCCATTTTGTAAATACACCATATTTTCTCCATCCATTCTGCAGTTGAGAAGGATCTAGGTTGCTTCCAAGTTCTGACTATGATGCTGCTATGAACATGGCTGAACAGATGTCTTTATTGTATTAATGTGCATCTTTTGGGTATATGCCTAGGAGTGAGTAGAATTGCTATGGTAGGCTGACTCCCATTTTTCTGAGGAACCTCCATACTGATTTCCAAAGTGACTGTATGAGTTGGCACTCCCACCAGCAGTGGAGGAGTGTTCTCCTTTCTCTACATCCTCTCCAGCACAAATTGTCATTGGTGTTTTTTATTTCAGTCATTCTGACAGGAGTAAGATGGTATCTCAGAGTTGTTTTGATTTGCATTTCCCTGATGGCTAAGGTTGTTGAGCATTTTCTTAAGTGTCTTTCAGCCATTTTAGATTCCTCTTTTGAGAATTCTCTATGCAGTTCTATACCCCACTTTTTAATTGGATTATTTGGTGTTTTGGTGACTAGTTTCTTGAGTTCTTTGTATATTTTCTAAATCAGCCCTCGGTCAGATGTGGGGTTGGTGAATATCTTTTCCTATTCTGTGGGATGCCATTTTGTTTTGTTGATTATGTCTTTTGCCTTACAGAAGCTTCTCAGTTCAGGAGTTCCCATTTATTAATTGTTGATCTCAATGTCTGAGTCTCCTGTACCAATTTGTTTGAGGGTACCACTTACCTTCTCTTCTAAGAGGCTGGATTTATGTTGAGGTCTTTGATCGATTTGAACGTAACTTTTGTGCATAGTGATAGATACGAATCTATCTGCAGTCTTCTACATGCCAGTATCCAGTTATGCCAACACCATTTGTTGAAGATGCTTTCTTTTTTCCATTGTATAATTTTAGCTTCTTTGTCAAAAATCAGGTGTTCATAGGTGTGTGGGTCCATATCAGGGTTTTCACTTCAATTCCATTGGTTGACCTGTCTATTTTTGTGCCAATTAAGTTTAATTTTTAAGAAGTAGTAAACACTGGACAGTCATCTTCTATTTCCTCATTTGCAAATCAATTTCAGGCATAAATATATAGCTCAATGTGTGTGGCCTTGGGTCCAACCCTCAGAAAGGCAAAATATATATTTTCACCTGTCCCATTTTTCTTGTAAAACACAGATATTTCTTCATTCTAGTGAACTAGTAAGTAAATCCACAGGCAGAGGGAAGAGGACATAACAAAACCACCCATGCCTGTTAGAATTTAACTCATATACTCTAGGAAAATAATGTCTAATCTTAAAGCTTTGCAAAAATATATTTCCATTTAAACAAAGAAACTTCAAATTGTTAATATTCAACTAATAGGTTTCTGAAAATATCAAATTCTCCTTATAACATAGAGGAGTGTTATAATCTACAGGGTTGACAACAGTGGCTTCTTTTTGCATAACTTCCCTTTTCATGCTACATTAAGAGATTAATTTTCCATCTTTTTGCATTACAAAATTCCTATTCACTTTGGAGTGTTTCTTCTTCACCTCATGCTCCCAATATACTTTTCAAAGATAAATTTTACAAATTGGTGATTTATATCATTCCTGCTACACAGGTATACAAATCCACAGACATGCAAGTATGGTTTTGAAATACTACATTATGATTTCATTTTGAAATATAGGTATATATGAATGTGATTATTTTAAATATATACCCAAAACAGTTTATATGTAGCATGTTTCTTAGTAAACGGAATTCAAGATGAAAGAAAAATTATGGAAAAATTACCATGGCTGACTTTTGCCAGCAGCTGTGAAAACTCACCCAAAATTCCCATACTGCTTCTGTCATTACAGAGCATTATAGAGTCCCCAAACTCTCTGACACTGCCATAAGCATTACAGTGTCCCTACACTCTGATTAATCAACTCGGTGAGACTATACTTGATGTATTTATGACTTTTCTGTACAGGAGAACAGAATTTATTCCAATGCAAAATTACGCTGTGCCTTAAATATTAGCCGTAGGGAACTCTTCACTTCAGTGTAATCCGTAGTGGTTAGAATTTATTGCCTAGTAAGTTCATCCATGACACTAAGCATTGCACAGGGAGCTGAAGTTGAGAATGACAGGAGATTTGTTTATATCAAAATATGGGTTCTCATCTGGACTAAGAGGGTCCTCCTCATACACTGCATTTAAACCCCTTTGAAAGCCTGTGATCTTTTTGTCCCAGAACTACTGTCTCATGTAAAGTTGCAAGTGAACATAGGTGGTTTTGTATGTCTCTATTGAAATATTTAGAAAGATAGCTTCATATGAAACTCACCTGATTGTCTTCCAAGAGTTTACCAAGCATAGTGGTGGGCATACTTACTCTGTTTATATTTTTACAATTAAAACCATCAGTCTTCTCTACTTGCCCATTAAAGCAACTGTTTTAATACTAGTAGTAAAGATACAGGGCATATTTACTTTAAATTCTTCCTTGGAATCTTCTTCTATGATTCAGTCCTTTAGAATAGCCCATTAGCTGAAGCTTGAAGGTCTTCAGGGTGAGTTTGTTGGTGGATTACTCTTGATTTTGGTGATGCTTTATTAAAAGATCCTGTTATAAAACTGTTTAGAGCGGCAAAGTTTTGTCTTTTCTAACTTCTGAAAGCTACCTATAAAATGGTATCTGCTGTGTCAAGGTCTTATGCTTTTGATATTAGTAATGAGAATAGGGTTTACATTGGTGCGGCAGCCTCTGCTTTTATTTAGTGTTGGCATGTAAGCATAACTCTTAGCTGTCAGTCTTTAATCAGTGTGTTTTCATATTTTCTATAATTTAAGAAAAGCACCACATGATAGAAAGACACCATTCGAAAGGGTTCAAGCAGAGAGTTTTTTTTTCATTAGGGAAAGGGATAAAGGGGGAAGACTGGCCTTTGGAGACAGGAGCAGCAGGAGAGAGAGAAAGGAAAGAGGGTGAAAGAGAAGAAAGTGGGAGGGGGAATGGACAGAGAAGGAGAGAAAGAAAGAGAAAGATGGGAGGTGAGCATGGCTCTTATAAAAGGGAACATAGTGAATGTGCACAGATGGTGCTCTTAGTGGCTGCAGCTGAGGGCGTATCCTGTCAGAACCCCAAGGACAGGCCAGTATAGATGCCTGAATACTAGCAATGTTAATGTCAGTAGTCTCTTACAGGTTTTAGGTAATTTTTGCTTATACAAATTTGGGGACTGACACGTATTATTGCAAAACTGCAACAAAGTTTATTGTAAATTATTAAGATGACTTCAGTCGTGGTGTTTATTATTTATTCCTGTGATTTTTGTGTCACTCGGAATTTCTACAAGCATGACTTCACTGTCTTCATTGATGTCAGCTTGACATCACAACAAAAAATGTTGTCACAGCTCATGTAAAGATCTGTATTTGAAGGAGGCCACCACTTACCAATTCTGTTCTCTTTGTCTTTGTTGCTCATCAAAGACCCTTCTGGTTAAATAACATTTTGCAGCAGTTTAATAAATACTGTCATTGCAACATTCTTCTCTCATCTCCAAGTGAAGCATGTAGTTACTTACAAGGCACTTCCCTCAGGCCCAAGGATCATTAACATGCCACTCAATGGGTTTAGCCTAAACATTAAGTAGCGTTTCAATAGATTGCAAAATTGATAGTTTATATTTTATAGATTCATTCATTTTATTTTAATGGCTATATTTGGCATATTTGATTAACAGAGATGTGCTCACATTATGAAGTAAATATAGTGTTTTGATTCCTGTACAATGGTAGTGATCTACATAGGAAATTGTCAGACCTGAGGCACATAGTCAATTGTCGAGGAGGCTGGCCAGTGAAACCAACACTACTGATGGAAAGGGAATGGCGTTCCAGGGCTCTATTGCACACAACAAATGGATGAATGATAAACAGTTCCATTATGTGCTTCTGAAACATGATAAAAGTCAACATTAAATGCACCATGAATATAGGATAAAAGTCTAAGAGGATGGGAATTCATCATGTTGTGAATGGAAGGTAGTTTACAGCCAGTAAGTGTTTTTAATAAATTAAGGGGTAATCCTACATGATAACTGCTGTACTGTCCCCAGTAACATTGTGGGATTCCCACTGTTGGCGTTGAGTAGGTAAGCACTGGCGATATGTTAAACTTTCGTTGCTAGGTTGTGGGATGTAACTAATATACTAGATTATGCCCCATGATTAGAGGGGATTTACAGTCTCATCAAAGGGACAAAGATTGAAATAAATATATAACATATAGAACACATGAAATTGTGGATGAGAAGTACAGTAAAAAATTAATAGTAGAAGTTAGACTGATGAGGTAAGGTGGAGACAGGATATTTAAAATGGACAAAGCTCCCTTATGCTCACTCTAACAAAATAGTATTTAAGGGGAAAATTTGATGAGGCTGATAGTGATGAAAAAAGTGGTGCATATAGAAGAGATGAAAGATAGATGATGTATATGCATTTATTGTGCAGTTTGAATTTGATTGGCTTGTGAGTTGATCTTTATTCTCTTATTAATTTTAATATCAATGAGCATATGTCCTCATAAAGAGAAAATGAACATGTTATAACGTCTCTCATCCCTCAGAAGCTTACTGATAAGTTAATGCCATTACTTCTTCAGACTTTATAATGAAAAAAATTGTTTTTGTTCCAGAAAGTTTCAGTATTGGTTCCATGGTTTTATTCATCAGTAAAATTCTGTGATCATAGTAGTGCTTGAAACTCTATATGTTTAGATGTGGAATTAAACAATGAAATATCCATGATTATCTTCTCTTTTAAGCCAGGCCAACACTGACTTGTTTCCAGCTTTATCATGGGGCAAAGAGAAAACGTAATTGAAATAGCAATGAGTGGCCAAGTGCGTTGACAGTGCTCAGACCCTGACCAAAACTGTGCTTAAGAAAGATGTAATTTCTCCCCGCAGCCACCAATGAACATACACTCCATCGTGGTGCAAGTCCAGTGTGTCAACAAGAAGGTGGGCACAGTTATCTATCATGAAGTGCGCATTGTGGTGCGGGACAGGAATGACAACTCACCTACATTCAAGCATGAAAGCTACTATGCCACAGTGAATGAGGTCTGTGCCCCTGTGATGATGTATGTGGTTAGCTTACATTATAAAACTGTGTAATCCCATTACAATAATGACCAATGTATCCTGGAAGTAATAGGAATGTAGTATAAGAACTAATATTTAGAAAAATGTCTTCTAGTAACTTACAATAACATTCCAGAAATTCAGGTCGCTGCAGAAAAATGAAAATTACTTTTTTATGTAATAGAATATATTGAGAGAATTCAAGGCATGCCACTGACATTTATATTTGTTGAAAAGCACTGGGCAAAATGTCTTCATATTTATGAAATGATCTCACTAGACTTCATAAGAAATTATTTTTGTGAGACTATTTATTTAGAGTTATTGTAATATTTAATAATGATAATAATGTATTTGCTTATTGTTGTTTTAAAATATTCTCACTCCACAGATCACACAGCATCTTCTGGCTTCAAACTCCAAACTCATGGTCATCCTTCTTCCTCACCTTCTCAAGTCTCAAATTGCAAGAGTGACCCCCATTAGCGGCCTGTTAGACTTTAAAATACAATTCTATGATACCCAGAATCTTCAAACAGAAACCACAAGCATATTTTTATTTCCTTTTATTTTTATTACAAATTCTTATATGGAAATCATGATGATGTTTTGAAAATATCTTAAAAGTATTAGTATTGCTTTTATTAAAAATTAATTTTTGTCTTATTTTTCCCTTTTCCCAAATATCCCTCTGATTTTTTAAGTAATGGACCCTCTGTTAATTTCTCATTAGACATTAAACTAGAAAACACTTGCAAAGTAACTATAATATTGTTTCCAATATTCAACATGGACATATGCAACATTATTTTAAGTTGCTATAAAACTACACTTGACATATATTCTTCGAATTGTTTTCCTTTTTAAAATACATACATATTTTATAGGAAGCCATCAGAGTATTTTGGATATAAACATGAATTTCATACTTTCAGCTCAGCAATCCCTAAAGCCAATTAAGATATGTTTGTTGCTAATTAAGATATGTTTTGTTTGTGCATAAACTTCCATTTGTAAACACTGGGTAAAATTAAATGATAGAAGGTGAAATAATATCACTTTAAAATGTTTGACCATTAAATGTTCAGCATGTTATTCAGGGACCCATTCTGTCTTTGAAATTCTTCTATTGGCTCTTGCAGTACCCATGGTTTCTGACTCCTTCCAATGCCCCTGCCTTGAAGATAATTTTAAGTGTTTTCTTTTTCAATATCTGAAGTACAACATTTGAATTAGAGTTTGCCCTGTTTGATTGCTAACTTGAATGATAGAAACTGATGGGTGAATTATCTTAGGCAAAGCTCTAGCTTAGGCAAAAATCTGTTTTTAGTTCACATTCATTTTCTTCCTATTATGTCTATTGTTCCTTTTTCTTACCAAAACTTAAAATGCTCTTAATTTCACTTTTAAAACATTCTGTGTTTCCTGGTTACTTTCCCTCTCTCCCACAATCCTTCAGCTGTCTTGTTGAAGAATAATGCTTCTCAGATACCATTTCCCTCAGGCCACTCTGCGGCTCAGAGGCTGTGTCATTTCTCATTATCATCAGGGGAGAGACCAGTTCCTTTAGTGGATCTTCAAGGCCCACACAGTCTCATCATTTGTCAATGCTCTTCTCATTCTGCATTTCACCTGATGATGCCTCACCTTGTTCAAATGGGCTTCCTCATGTCCCGCAGGTGTCCCCACTGCCAAACTTGTGTTCTGTCCTATGAGCTCTCCTTCCTCTGTCATCTGAACTGAGCTCAGGATCTGTTCTCTCCAGAAATCACATTCTCCTAGATGACCCAATGCTTCTTGATCATTGATTTCTTTGGATCCTAAATTCACATAGCATCTGGATACCTGAGTGATACAAAATAGGAACATGTGACTTTTTTTTACCCATTGTTTTCAACAACTCAGCTTCTTCTACAAAGCTGTACAGTGATTTGTGTGTGACAGGCAGCTGAGGTAGGCCTGATCCACCAACCCCCTATTTGATTGTATAGAGTGCAGTTGGTGGTCACATTCACAAAATTCTAAATATGTTAAGACGTAAAATATTATCATGTACTTTCTATAATGAAATAAAACTAGTAATCAAAAATAAAATGTTGGAAATAAATGTAGGCCTTAGAAGAAGGACTCCTATCTTTCACTTACCTGTTGTGGACCAGAGACAGGACTTTGGGTCAAACCATCCCACTGGGAGAAACAGAAGTCCCTGCATCTTTACATAGTCAGATCCCAAAGGTTTCTCCATTGCTACTGAATAAGCAGCAGTTATCCATAGAAACAGCCTGTGTGTATGAAGCTGGTAATGGCTTGGATGCAGAGTCACCCTAAAGACATAGAAGGACGAGAAAGAAAGAGCAAACAGTTTCAAAATGTCAGTAAAGGCTGAGATGTTCAGAAAAGAGCAAGTGTAGACACATGGGGCCACATCAAAGAACGAGCATCAATAAGTGAAGTGCAGACAACAGAGAAGATAAGGAAAGTATTTGACAGCTACTGACACAGTGGGGCTCCTGGACTGAGAACTGGAAGTGGACACGATCTCCCACCCCTAAACAGAAGCTTTCCGCAATTGACACCCACTTGCCAAGGAAAAGAATTAATTTTCTCTAACAGAGACTCACTGGGTGTATTAACTATACCTAAGGGTATGTGCCATACCCAGCAGTAGATGACCAACACAAAGTGAACTCTTTGTCTAATGTTGCTTTATTTCTGCAATTTTGCCTTACTGGTCTGTTGCTTGTGTATTACGGTTTCCAACTTTGTGTTTTAATGGGTTTTGTTTATGTGTTTCTTCTGCTTTTTTCCCTCTGCTTTTGCTTTTAAATTTGGTCGTTTATTTGCTTTCCAAAGTGAAAGAGACAAAGAGAGAGAGAGAGAGAGAGAGAGAGAGAGAGAGAGAGAGAGAGAGAGAGAGAGAGAGAAAGGGTATGGAGTTCGATGGGTAGAAGGGGTGAGGACTAGTTTAGGAAGAGAAACTGAGATCAGAATATAGTGTATGAAAAATAATTTTAAATTTAAAAAGAGTAAAAAACTAACTAATAAGGAATTAAGTTGCATAATCTAAGAGGATATTTCCCAAGAAAAAATATAGAGGTAACCAATAAGAATATAAAAATGTTGTTCGATACTATTACTTTTCAAAAACAAAATCATAGTGTGATATTATAATGGCTGTTGTAAAAAAGGATGAGAAATTTTATGGTTTTCAGGAGGTGAGGAAGGGAGAATGTGTACACTATTAGTGGGAACAAAAGTTAGTAAATCCATCATGGAAATCAGTAAGGAAAATCCACAAAACAAGTAAAAAATAGAATGATGGTAGGATTAGGCCGTTCAAGATTGAGTTTGTAACACACAGAAATGAAATCAGTGGATCCGAGAGATTCCTAGACCCAGTATTTACTCTGAGAGACTCACTACAGACAAAGTGTGAAATCAATTGATGACTTATTCATGCATAACTGGAAAAACAATAGATGGTTTCCAGACAAAACCAAGTATTATACGATTATAAAGAACGAAACCCTGTCATTTACAGCAAAATAGACTGAAATAAGCCAGACATAGAAAGAGATATATAACAAACCCTTCTTCTTTAATGGAAGTTAAAAACTTGGTATCCATGAGAATGGAGAATGTAATCATCACAATTAAATCTACAAAGATGGAGAGAGGAGAAAAGGAGCTAGTGTAACCAGAAGAAGGAGTAACAGAAAATCATCATAATTCATTCTTAAAAAATATGTAAGAGAAGACCTCAAAGTTTCCTACCACAAACAAGTGGCAAGTTGCTAAAGAGACTGAGGGTCTAATTACTATGGTCTGAGGCATTAAACATCATGTATATACATATATGTGCACATACATACATGATATATACATGCTTGCTACTCTGGACTCCAAATACATGTGTACACTTAATGTTTGCCTGTCTGGAATCAGAGAAAGGTAGAGGAAGAAGACAGGAGGGAAATGAGGCAGAAGAGATTAAGAAAAGGTGTCATAAGAAGTCCAGAGTCACCCTTGCTTGCTGTAGGGTTGACAGAAGCACTAGTGGAGATACACTCTGGTTGCTGGGAAGAAACCTAAGCAGGGAGCGCCAAGGAATCCCATTCCTCAGTTCTATAGGGCAAAGTCAACCAACTAATGGAGGCCATATTAGATGAGCTTAGAGGTGTATTCTTTCCCAGATTCTTTAGAGAAAACCAGACATGTCACATTGCTTAGTTTCAGCTTTTTGTAACTTGTCATTCTAACTAGCATAACTATATAAAAGAAAATGAATTCTATTTAAGACTAAATTTGTTGTTTTGTTAGAAAAGATATAGAAATTTGTGTTACAAATTCTCTCTGTAATGGATTAAAAATATAGGAAAAAGAAACAAAGAAACTAGAAGATTTAAGCAAATAACTTAGCATTTTTCTGGTAGATTCATATATAATATTTTATTTAGCAAGCACAGGACTTAAGGCTATTAAGGATATAAAATGTGACAAGAATTTACCAAATTCTGGTATCTATGGATCTATAAACACAAAACAAATGAAATCACACAAAATATGTTATAAAACCTTACATTTGCACTTAAAAATCAATGAAAACAGATGACAAATTCCCCATATCTTTAAAAAATAGCAAGAAACTCACTATTCACACTAAATATTATAGACTGTTCAGAAAATGAATATATATGTATATACATATGAATTATTAGTTTAAAGTGAATTTACCGAGTGTACTGGATAGATATTCAATGTTTTATAAATATTTTTGTAATCAAACAACAAATGGGTGATGAGATTTTAAAAAGTGATAAATCCATGAATGAAGCTCCATGGCTTTGGAATGGGCATTCTACATGTATAAAGTTCTCTAAGATGTATAGAGTAAAAATCTGGGCAAGTGTTGACTTGTTTCCTTAAACCAACTTGTGATGTTTTTATTTGTGAGTTCGTTAGAATAAAGTGACTCTGTT